TCTAACTAAACACATGAGTATCTAACAGGCTCAGATTAAGCAGGCCATTTCCAAATTGCTGGTGCTCTTTCACCCACAAAAGCCCCTAATCAGCCTCCTCTCAGTAAATGGCAGCACCTGGTTGCCCAAGCAGGCACCAAGGAGTCTCCCTTGATGTCTCATTTCCTTACTTTCCAACCCTCCCCAGCAAGTCCTGGCGCTTTCCCTTCAGAATCCCCACTTCCGACACCATGAAACTGCCCTTGCCCAAGCTGCCATCAGTTCTCCCGTGGCTGCCTGCGCTCCTGACTCCACTCAGCTCTACATTCTCCGGAGCCGCTGGGATGCAAACGTGTACATTTCTAGAGAGCAGGTTCATGTTTGCAGGGGGCTCTCTTTGGATGACCCCGGCAGATTCACCCTGGACTTCTAGATAACGCTCCTCATTCTTCAGTTACTTCATTAGAAAAAGGCTGGGAAGCCCTGGCTTATATTATAGCCTGTTGTTAGATTATTACAAACTTTCAAATTTTTACCCAAATACTTGCAGTATTTAAAAATCAAATATGCCAGACGTGGTGGCTTGCGCCTGTAATCCCAGCACTTTGGGAGGCTGTGGCAGGAGGATTGCTTGAGCCCAGGGGTTGGAGCCCAGCCTGGGCAACATGGTGAAACCCTGTTTCTACTAAAAATACAAAAAAATTACCCAGGTGTGGTGGCGCACACCTGCAATCCCAGCTCCTTGGGAAGCTGAGGCAGGAGAATTGCTTGAACCTGGGAGGCAGAGGTTGCAGTGAGCTGAGATCACACCACTGCACTCCAGCCTGGGTGAAAGAGCGAGATTCCGTACCCCCCGTCCCCCACAAAAAAATCATGAAATTCCCTATTTCACCTAGCCTTTTTTAGGGAAACAACTAACGTATTTCTTGTAAACTAGGGGGTTGAAGTTGAATTATCTTCATCTTGGTTTCTGCTGAGACCCCCCCACAAGGCATGGTCCATGGGCCAAATGCCACAGAGAGGAGCAGGACCAGCAGCTACCTGGACTGTGACACCAGGTGGTCTCAAGCGAGCTCACGTTTCTGCTGGGAATGTTGTCTATAAAGAAGCTGGAAGTTTGAGGATGAGTTTCAGAGGCCACTGAGAAGCTATGAATGTTACCACCCATGGAGGAAGGCGGTGGGGTTTCTGCTTCACCTCGAATCAACAGAAGACAGTGTGTAGAGGGGAGGCCCTGAGAGTCAGGAGCCAAAGATAGACAGGGCTGGCCAGAGGGAGCACATCCTCCAAAGTGAGGGAGCTGCCAACAGAAGAGGGCAGGGGGCATGCCTGTGAAAGCTCAGGAAAATGCACCACGGCCGAAGTCAGTTCACAGCAGTATCGGCGAATGATGAACTGCTCCCCACCTCATGCCCCTCTCAGCAACTTGGGCAAAAGAGTGACAGCACCAGGTGGGCAAATAAAATAAGGCTGAGGCCAAACATAAGCTGCTCCCCCTCTGCAGAGAGCGAGGTTCCCTGCGGGCCCACAGTGGAAGGGGCGGCCTCTCTCCAAATGCAGCTCGAAGGACTCAAAGAACTTGTTCCTGTGCTGGGCGGGGGACTCCATCTGCCCAGGGCACGGCTTGCCCTACATATCACCTAGGGACAGCAGGAGAACAAGCCCTAGAGAGGAAACTTAGACAGTGGGAGACCAAAATAAAGGTGCTTTTGATTGGATTGAGCTTGTTCATAGCAGTAGGACTAGCATTTTGAACATCTTCTGCAATTGTGTTATTTGGCTTCTCAACCTGAATACATAATTGATCAGCTTAAGTTCACCGACAGTGGGGTATGCTTACTAATTTGATAATTTGGTGACTTAGTGATTTCTACCTGCTGTGATGATGGAATCTGAGACCTCCATTTCTCAGTTTTTCTTTTTCTGGTAATTTGGGAGAGACAGACGGGAATTTGGTATGGAAAGGTGGCTTTTAGGATTCTCAATGAAAAAGTGCCAATAAGCAGTGTCTCAGAGTCAGACTTATGAAAGGGGAGAAAACCTATAATCCTTGGAGCATTTTTAATTTTTGGAGAAACGGCAATACCAGCTCACAGAGGAGGATCAGAATTCCAGGGAGCCGTGGCCAGGACTGAGGCAGAGGAATGAATGCTGACGGGAGACGGCAGCTGCGGCACCTCCCGAGAAGCAGCCACTTCCCTGAAATGCGGGCCCTGCTCACGGATCCCAGGCAAGAGCTGTACCTTACGGGGTGGCCTCTGAGGAGTGGGCTGGGCTGACTGGGAAGCAGAAGCAGCTTTCCTGAAAGGGCTCTGAGGTTACACAGGGGTCACATTTGTCACTTTGAAGATTTGTGCATTTTACTGTATGTAAATCTTACCCATCCTCCAAAAACAGTAAATGAGTTAATGATATACACTTGGAAGTGGTTAGGGCCGGGTACTGCCTGCAATATACTTAGAAATGCATAAAAAATAAGTTAGATGGAAGAATGGAAAGTTATGTGATATAGAAATATAGCAAAATGGGTAACTAGAATTGAGATGAAAGATATACAATTATTTCAATTCTCTGTAGGTTTGAAATTTTTCATAAAAAAATACTGGGCATGGGTACACCTTTGCTGTATTGGCAAATGTCCTTCTGAAACTCAGAACCCATGCTTTTCCCTCCAGGCCTAGGACAGCTGTCAGTTTCTAACCTTGACAGTATACATGCTACTTTTGAGTACAGAAACACTAGGGTTTTTGTATGTGGCATACCATTAGGCGCGGTGGCTCACGCCTATAATCCCAGCACTTTGGGAGGCCAAAGCAGGCAGATCACCTGAGGCCAGGAGTTTGAGACCAGCCTGGTCAACATGGGGAAACGCCATCTCTACAAAAAAATACAAAAATCAGCCCGGGCGTGGTGATGGGCACTTATAGTCCCAGCTACTTGGGAGGCTGAGGCAGGAGAATCACTTGAACCTGGGAGGTGGTGGTTGCAGTGAGCCGAAATTGTGCCACTGCACTCCAGCCTGGGTGACAAGAGAGAGACTCTGTCTCAAACACAAAACAAAACAAAAAAAACCCTTAATTTTAACCTTCTTTCCCCTCCCCCGTAAACCTCTGTGGCCATGAATTTTTACATCTTTTTTTTGAGACAAGGTCTCACTTTTGTCATCCAGGCTGGAGTGCAGTAGTGGACTCATAGCTCGCTGCAGCGTCCATCTCAAGCAATCCTCCCACCTCAGCTTCCCCAGCAGCTGGGACTAGAGGTGCGTGCCACCACACCCAGCTAATTTTCATATTTTTGGTGAAGATGAGGTTTTGCCATGTTGCCCAGGCTGGTCTTGAACTCCTGGGCTCAAGCAATCCATCTGCCTTGGCCTCCCAAAGTGCTGGGATTACAGGCAGGAGCCACTGCACCTGGCCAAATTTTTACATCTTAATTTGAGTCCAAGGAATTATGCTTGCCCTGCCGCATTACAAACTCCTGATGTACGTGGTGGGCTCCTGATGTACAAAATCCTGGTGCTCAAGGGACTGGGAGGTGGAGCATCTTTATTTTCATAAGAAACTTTCCCCAGGACCTTGGTGGAACGCTTTTAGGATGGGGAACTTTAAGGCAAACAAGAGGGAGTAGTAGGGGGACTACGGGAAGGTGGAAGGGACAGGCCCCCAGCCCTATTCTGAACCCTTGCTTTGGAGCCAGAATGCCACCTCCCTCCAGGGACAGAACCCCAACCCCCCTCTTAGAAACCTGACCTCTCCTCCTTTGACCTCCTTCCCCATTATCCTTCTTGGAGAAACTCAAGCAGAAGGACAGAGGAGCCTCAGACTTGGATCCCAGCTTCTGAGAATACAAGGGAGATGCTGCTTGGCCACACCCCAGGTTCGTCTGCAGCACAGAACCTAGCAGATAATCAACAAGCAGGGTCCGCCGTCACCCACTCTCAGGGGGCACTTCCTAGGGAAGCAGGGACAAGGGACACCAGAGTGTTTCTCAGACAACCAACATTACTTAAGATTCAGGGAAAACTATTTGAGGGTTATTTTTATATTAAGATAATCATGGATGTATTATAGAGTGGAAAATTCCTATCATCTTTCATTACAGTAGATTTTGAAGAAATTTTGCCAAGCTCTTATAAACTACACCCCTCAACTCCAAAGAGTACGTATTTTACTCCTCCGACACCACTGAGGAAGCCTCACTGGAAAATCTGGGCAGGTATGATTGCTAGATGGAAGAACTCACAGACAGTGGTGACTTCTGGGGCAGGGAGGACAATGACGGGGATTTCCAGGCTCACACTACACAGTGCTGAGTCTTTTTCCTGTGTAACAGGAAACAGACAAAAAGAAAAACCCTAATCAAATTAAATACATGTGTTTTCAGAGGGAAAAAACAAGAGAGTGGCTGGATGAGGGTGTGTGGGAGCCTGAGTGCAGGTGAATTCTGGGACGCTCTCGGCGGGAGGACCCCTGCACTCTGAGTCTGCGGGGCAGATGTTTGCCCAGGACGGGCTCACTCGGGTGAATGGGGGCCCTCCAGGATTTCTGGAGCAGATAGTGTGGGAAGAGCAGGGATATTGGAGTCCGAGACCTGTGACCTGGCTGTGAGGGCGTAGGCAAGCCGTTCTAAGCCCAAGTCCCCATGTCTGAGGTAGCCCCAACACGGTCTGCAGAGGGTACTGTTAGGTGAGAGCTATGTAGATTACATGGCAGGTGCATTCCGGGTCCTCAGTAAGTACCACTCTTCCCCAGTGCAGCGCAGTAGAAAAATATCTTTCAACATTGGCAGCAGTGGGAAACGGTAAAAGAAGGACGAGGGCCAAGAGGCCCAGAAGCCAGGGCACTGATTTGACACCAAGCTACACGAAGGACGGCCACCGGCACAACAGCAGCAGCAGGCCTCTCGGAGCCGTGAACATGATCTCCCTCCAGGACTGACGGAGGCAGCCGGGCCTCTGACGTGTGATTACACAGGAAGAGAGAGGCCTTTTCAACCTAGTGTTTAAAGACACAACAGCCGGGTAAGCATTTTGGTTATTTTTAGTTAAAGAAAAACAGCTTTCTCCAAGGGCGACAAAGTGAACTGAAGGTCAGAAGGAAGCTGGGTGCGGGCTTCTTGCAAGCTCTTGCTCTAAAACCTGGAAGTGAGGAGAGACGGCCCTCTGGAGCTCTGGGGAAGGTTGGCGCACACAGGGGTTCCTTTGGTGGGGGAGGAAGAGCTGCCAGCCCACACATGGTCACTGGATTGGTCTGAGTGGGTTCCAAGGTGACTGCCACGTGCCAGTCCACTGACATGATCGACATTAACATTCTTGGGGGACATTAAATTAAGGAATGACACAGGGAGCCGAGAGTGGCTTATTCGGTTGGATTCTGAATCACAATCAGGAAATAGTCTTTATCTGCAAAAGAAAAAAATGACACAAAAAATCACTAAATGTAAAATGAGAGAAAAACACACAATAAAGCAAATAAACCATTAAATCACTAACCATAAAATGAGAAAGGGGGTAAAAGCAATAAAAAGCATCAACGCTCAGCATCTCCAAATGCTGGGAAAACAAGATAAACCTGTAAGGTTCCTGCGGGGGCTCCTGCAAGAGGGGCCTCCCCGTACCGGGCAGCAGGCACTCTACAGTGTGTCCCCTCTTCTAATCCTCCCCACGACAGTGGCAGCAGGTAGGCAGGATTCTCACCCCTGTTTTCCAGGTCGGGGGACTCTGGTTCAAAGAGCTCCAATGAATTGCCTAAGGCCATGGTTCTCAAACTAGGGGCATCCCAACCACCGGGAGGGCTCCACGCCCAGAACCATCATTTAGTGGGGCTGGGGCAAAGCCCAAGAGTTTGCGTTTCTCTAACAAGTTCCCAGGTGATGCTGATGTTGTAGGCTGTGGGAGGACCGCTGGCTTAAGGTTACCCAGCTACTTAGTGTCAAAGATGGAATTCCGACATAACTTCACTGGACTTGGGGTAGTGTCATTTTCTTTTTTTTCTATCTCTTTTTCCCCCTCAAGACAGGGTCTTGCTCTGTCACACAGGTTGAGTGCAGTGGTGCGATCATGAGTCACTGCAGCCTTGACCTCCAGGGCTCAGGTGATCCTCCCGCCTCAGCCTCCTGAGTAGCTGGGACTACAGGCACACCCCACCAAACCTGGGTAAATTTTTAAGAAGATTTTGTAGAAGGTCAGGTGTGGTGGCTCATGTAGCACTTTGGGAGGCCAAGGTGGGCAGATCACTTGAGGTCAGGAATTCAAGACCAGCCTCTGGCCAACATGGTGAAACCCTGTCTCTACTAAAAATACAAAAATTAGCCAGGCTTGGTGGCAGGTGCCTGTAATCCCAGCTACCTGGGAGGCTGAGGCAGGAGGCCTGCTTGAACTTGGGAGACAGAGGTTGCAGATCGCCTCACTGCAGTCCAGCCTGGGTGACAAAATGAGACTCCATTTCAAAACAAAAAAAGTTTTTTGTACAGATGGGGTCTCACTATGTTGCCCAAGATGGTTGCAAACTCCTGGGCTCAAGTGATCCTCCTGTCTCAGCCTCCCAAAGTGTTGGGATTATAAGTGTGAGCCACCACACCCAGACAGCTAATGTCAATTTCTGTCACAAACTCAATTTGTTGGCTTTCCAGAACCTTCTGAATAAGAAAATTTCGAAAGGGGACAAAGCTGCCTGGATTCCAGCTCCAGGGATCTGGCCCAGTAAGGAGGAACGTCCACCATGAAATCACAGCAAGTCCAAGTCCTTGGAGGTGAGCCTGAGTGCCTCTCATTTTACTGAAGAGCAAACTGGGGAAGTGGTATTATTGGATTTAGGGCTTGATAATTTGGAATAAAAGACACTGATATTACTGATTATGCCTGTTTTTATCAGTGGCTTGTTAATTCTGTTTTCATTAGTGATTTTTATGTATGCAGATTTACCCACTTAATCCAACTGCAAACATTGATCAAGGCTTCTTTGTGTCCCAGTCTGGGCCACCCACTTCTCATACGGCCCCTCAGTGAGCCCTCGAGTCACTCTGAGAACACAGAGGCTCAGAGAGTTAAAGGGCTTGCCCAATCAAGGAAAATCCACAGGTGGAGTGGGGACAGGGACCTGGGTTTGACCTCATACTCCGAACTGCCCTGGTCTGCTGCCCCCTGCTGAGCATGAGAGAAATGGCAGGACCTCAGCCAAGTTGCTTTGTGGCTGTTCAGAGCCGAGCCTAAAGCTTGGTTCTTCCCACAAAGATGGGCTGTTGCAATTGGGAAGAAACAGAAATGAAATGACTCAGTTTCATGGCTAACCAGTCTGCATACATAAAAATCACTAATGAAAACAGAAATAATTAACAAGCCACTGATAAAAACAGGCACAATCAGAAATATCAGTGTCTTTTATTCCAAATTATCAAGCCCTAAATCCAATAATACCACTTCAAGTGCTTTGTGACAGGTAATGTGTGTTGAAGGTTGTGTGGGCTGAGTTAGTTACCTCAGCTTTAGTATTAGTGAAGTTAATAAGTGAAAACTAGAAGTCTGTTCTTTTCTGTTTTGTTTTTTGAGACAGGGTCTTGCTGTCGCCCAGGCTGGAGTGCAGTGGCACGATCATGGCTCACTGCAGCCTCAACTACCCAGACTCAAGCGATCCTCCTACCTCAGCCTCCCAAGTAGCTGGGAATACAGGTGCCACCATGTCCGGCTAACAAAAGTTTGTGTTAAGATGTCCTGGCCAGGCATGGTGGCTCACGCATATAATCCCAGCACTTTGGGAGGCCGAGGTGGGAGAAATCGCTTGAGCCCAGGAGTTTGAGACCAGCCTGGGCAGCATAGTGAAACCCTGTCTCTACCAAAAAAAAAGTCTGGGTGTGGCGGCGCACGCCTGTGGTCCCAGCTACCAGGGAGGCTGAGGTGGAAGAGTTGCCTGAGCCTGCGCGGTTGAGGCTGCAGCGAGCCATGATCGCACCACTGCACTCCAGCCTGGACAAGAGCTACACCCTGTCTCCGGAAAAAAAAAAAAGTCTGTTCACGTGGGCGGTTCTGGGCCAGGGTGGGGTGAATTTGGCACACATGTGGAGAGCCACGCTGTCTGGAACACCTGCTGCTGTCTGCGGCCTGGGAAGCAGCTCCTCAGCTGGATGGAGTCAGGCCAGGCGGGTGGGAAGGTGTGGATCTCCCTCCTGGGCCAGGCTGCTCTAGGCTGCCCACAATGTGTAGGGTGCTAACTACAGTCTCATATGGGCACCTCCGGCAGTAGCCAGGCCTGCTCTACGCCCATGGCCACCCCTGGGTCCTGTGCTCTATAGCCATCCTGAGGCAATTCAGTGCCAGTGCCTCCTAGGCTCTGCGTGGTGGCTCCTGACCACAGGAATTCTGCACCAAAACCCAATTATTTTTTCTTGGCCACATAAAAGTGGGTATGTCAAAGTGTCAAATCACTGGTTTTCATCCTAACACTATGCCCCACAGACATCCCTGACTCCACCCCCACTGCTGACACCACCTCTGACCCACATCAGTGGGGTGTCAGCAGTGGAGGGAGGTTTACAGAGTCATTCATTTATTTAATCAATGGATATTTGCTAGATGCTTACTATGTGCTTACAAGCCCCTGCCCTCATGGAAGTTACTCTCAAGTGGAAGAGACGGCCTTAAAAATGCAGGTAAGCATTTGGTGGCGAGGAAGGACTGAGTGGCAGCAGTGAGGCTGAGCCAAAGAAGCATGCTCTGTGTGTAAGACAAGCTCAGCACGCCACCGTCCTCCAGGACAGCGCCGTGTGTGCGCAGCAGAGACAGAGTGTGACTTGAGAGCACGGGCGCCCCCTGCAGTGCTGCCAAGGCGAGGGACTGGCCACCTCATCCTCCTCCACTGACAAGGTCGTGGGATCTCCGGGCCTGTGAACCCCAAGGAGAACCCCCTACTTGGGAGCTGCCCATTCTGGACTCAAGCACCAACGACACTCATGGGCTCTGAATGCCTGTGGGTCTTCAGGGCCAAACTGGAGATGCCACTGCTGCCAAGTTGAGACTTGAATGGCCAGGAGCTTTCAGATGACGCTGTTCTTCCGGAGGAGACATTCTCAGGAGCTTTATGCTAAGGGACACTGTCCGTGAAGAATTTGTCTGATTTTGAGACCATGTAATTTGCTCCCTTCCCCCATACCCTGAACTCCCAGTCGGCCATTGGGAAGCATAAGGTCTGCTATGCACAGGGTGAGTAGAGGCATCGTTCCCAGCCTTTTTTTTTTTTTTTTGAGACAGAGTCTTGCTCTGTCTCCCAGGCTGGAGTGCAGTAGCGCGATCTCAGCTCACTGCAAGCTCTGCCTCCCGGGTTCAAGCAATTCTCCTCCTTCAGCCTCCCAAATAGCTGGGATTACAGGTACGTGCCACCACGCCAGGCTAATTTTTATATTTTTAGTAGAGACAGGGTTTCACCATGTTGGTCAGGCTGGTCTCGAACTCCTGACCTTGTGATCCACCTGCCTCAGCCTCCCAAAGTGCTGGGATTACAGGCGTGAACCACCGTGCCTGGCCTCTCAGCCCAACTTTTAGGGGAGTGAAGCTTTGTCCTCTGCAGCCACACAACATGGCGTCCTGGGAGGGATTTCAGTTTAAATCTGATTCCAAGGCTTTTTCCCCCAACCCAGGTCAACACACTCAACCAGGCAGGGTGGCTCAGGACATCAGCACAGCACAGTCCCCTACTCGACATTTTACAGATGTAGATTTGCAGGTGTTCTGTGACTTGCCCAGGGTCATGCTTGTGGGAGGCAAAGCTGGGAAAACAGATTCTGCGCCTCCTGCAGTCTTTTCTCCCTGATGGATCAGGCAGTACACATGGACAGCGTGATTTTGGAATAAAAAGACTCTGGAGTTATTCTTATGTTCTTCTCTGTGACTGACTTGCTCTGTCCTCACCCCTCTAGGGAGTGTCCCAGGGAAACTGAGCTGCTGTGACTGGCTCTATAGTTCTTTCCTTCCCATCCTTCCAGGCCTGGTGACAGAACCTATGCTGGTCTGCTGCGTGGAGCGGCTGACCCCCCATCAAATGACCTCAGAACTCTGTGGCCTCTGTGTTGCCACGTCCAGAGCACTCAGTGTCCCCAGATCCCCCGCTGCCTTCCTTTACCCGGGTCCTAATCATAATCCTATCACCTCCTGCCCTAAAAACCTTTGCTTGCAAGATCAAGTCCATGCAATCGAGTTAGGTGTTTGTGGCCCCTTCTAAACTGGACCAAAGTCTCACCTCCCACTCCTCCCCACTCACATCCTGATGCCCTAGATAAGCGGCACTGCAGCGGAAGTGCACCATCACACGCACACATGACGCACGCACACTCAACTATGTGGCTCAGCCAAGAAAAAGCAGGGTGAGAAGTCACGAGGCAGAGATGGTCCTGGAGCCTCTGTCTGCCACCCTTGTCCATGAGTGAGAGCGAGGGGGCTGGGCAGGAGATGTGGCTCTGTTGCTCGCTCCTGTGCTCCCATCCTTGTGGGCTCCTCCCAGAATGAGCATCTCCTCACCCTGAGAATGATCCTAAGGACTAAACACAGGCCTTGGTTGTACCACACAGCCCTCAAATGCAAGGCAAGCACCTCGTGTAAAAGAAACACGGCAATCTGCTCCGGTGCGGGAGGAAAAGCTGGCTGCAACGGGCCTAAAGACAGGCCTGGTCTTTACAAGTGGGCAGAGAACATGTTTTCAAGGATAAAATGATACGGTACTTTTGCTTTACATTTTGGAGCAGAATCACTGAATATTCTTCCAAATGTGGCTTTCCGCCCCTCTGCCTTGCTCACACTGCTTCCTGTGCCCTTAAGATTCAGTTCCAGTGTCCCCTCTTCTGGGAAGCCTTTGCAGACAGCCCCAGACAGGCCTGGCCACAAACTCCTCTATGTCCCAAATGCCTTTGAGTTTTCTCCTATCAAGGCAGGGGAGACACACATGATGCTCACGTGTCTGTCTATCCCAGGAGACTGGGTTCCCCCCTGGGGTCAGTCCCTGGGCGGATCTGCTGTGGGACACCAGCTGGAGGCTGGCTAGGCAGTGAGGCAACAACCCAGTTCCTTCAACTCCTCAGGCCCTGCCTGGATCCTCTGGAGACACCACTGTGCCAGGCCTCCTGATGAGGCAGAGAATGTGCCGTGAGGTCTGCTCCTACATGGGGAGGTAGAAGACCCCTTACCTGGTGCAACCATAATTTCATTTTTCTTGGAGCGAATTCGAAGGAAGGTGAGATCGTTCTGAGGGTCGATTTCACGCACGGTGCTCCGTGCCTTCAGGATGAAGCTGTGCATGAGGCTGGCGTACTGGGTGGTAGTGGGGTTGTCCATGGTGCTCTTGATGGGAATGCCTGAGGGGAGAGCAGACGGAGCCTGAGAGGATGTGGAGCCCCTTCTGCCGAGCTCCCACCCACACTCCTAGTGGAAAGAACTGGAATAGCAATTCTCGGTCAATGCCACCATCCGCAGAGGGCTTGCTATGTGACAGGCATGGTGCTGAGCCACAAAGCATGCCAGTGCCATGCCCTAGAACTACTCCATGGGTGGCAACACCATCTCATCCCCCTGCGAGGCAACAGGAGCTCTGAGCGGTGAGGCAACCTGTCTGTGGTCACACAGTGGGCCAGGACTCGGGCCAGGACTCACAGGCAGGCCTGCTGTCTCACTCCCGGTTCCTTTCCCAGGGCTGATTGGTTCCCAGCAGTAAAAAAAGACACTAGCTCTGATTCATGAAGGGACACAGATTAAAAAAACTAATAAAATAAGGTTTTTGTTCAAAAAAGGAGAGACTCTTATTCATAGTGCTTAGACTTGAAACCAGGAAGCGCTTTTACAAATTTCTTTTTTTTGAGACGGAGTCTTGCTCTGTTGCCCAGGCTAGAGTGCAGTAGCTCCCGGCAACCTCTGCCTCCCGAGTTCAAGTGATTCTCCTGCCTCAGTTTCCGAGTAGCTGGGACTACAGGCACGTGCCACAGTGCCCAGCTAGCTAATTTTTGTATTTTTAGTAGAGACAGAGTTTTATCATGTTTGCCAGGCTTGCCTCGAACTCCTGACCTCAGGTGATCTGCCCACCTCAGCCTCCCAAAGTGCTGGGATTACAGGCATGAGCCACCGTGCCTGGCCTTACAAACTTCTTTTATTTATTTTATTATTATTTTTTTTGAGATGGAGTCTTGCTCTGTCACCCAGGCTGGAGTGTAATGGCGTGATCTTGGCTCACTGCAACCTCCGCCTCCCTGGTTCAAGTGATTCTCCTGCCTCCGCCTCCTGAGTAGCTGGGACTACAGGCGCGCACCACCACACCCCACTCATTTTTGTATTTTTAGTAGAGACGGGGTTTCACCATACTGGCCAGGCTAGTCTTGAACTCCTGACCTCATGATCCACCCGCCTCGGCCTTCCAAAGTGCTGGGATTACAGGCTTGAGCCACGGCGCCCAGCCCACAAACTTCTAAACACTAAAAAGTAGAAGAGAAAAAGTCAGCTTGTGCTGGGACATAACCGTCACGATTTCCACCCAAGGAAGGCTTGGGGTGCAGCTGTAAACACACTGTCCACATGGCCGTGCTCCCAGATTAAAGCATGTTTTTCCATGTTTGCACAACAGGCACAGAAACAGGAAACATGTTCACCCTCTGTAAACAGCACTGCTACCTCTTTCAAAGAGCCCACTAAGTGGGCAGTCCACAGAGCTCCCCAGCCCCTACTATTGGCTACTTAGGGGCTGAGTTTGTTACCAGTAACAAACTGGGCAGTAACAAACTGTAACCAGTAACAAACTGTAACCATTAACTGGGCAGTGAACAGCACCTTATACCAAGCCTTTTGTTTGGAGGACTGTTTCCTTGAGATGAACCATTAAATGGACTTATTCACTGGATGGTGTCTACTGTCACAGAGGTGAGGACTGTAGCTCACACTGAGCCACCTCAGGCCATAATTGGGCCAGCAGATGCCTGTGAATTGGCTGTGACATATGAGCAGAAGGCTCTATCCATGAGACCCCCAAGAGCCCACCAGCTGACAGGCACTTGAGGAGTGCGGCACAAGTGGCTCCTCATAAGAAGTGGCCAGCTTTGGGGCCCAGGACCGTGCTCGTCCTGCCCACAGCTGCTCAGCCTAGGGATCGGCCAAAGGCAGTTATCAGGCCGACCAGCTGAGTAGTAAAGAAACTGGCCCAATCTCGTCTTCCTAGGGCACCAGGAATGGAAGGGTAGGCAGAAGAGGACACGGTGGCAAAAGAAGCAGCTGAGTCAGAGAGGCTTTTTGAGCCAAGTGATGTCAGGAGAAGAGGTTGTAGTCATCACTTGTCTGCAAGGGACAAGACGACCAGATCACCAGGGCTGCTGCTGGCTCCTGGATGGCCACAATGTGCACGGCAGGGCCCTGCAAGGCCTTGCTCTACAGTTGAAGCTTCCTGAGGATGGCACCAGTGAGTGTGTCCATTATAATCTACCCACGATGGGGCGGCGATGGGGAAGGAGCCACCACGACTCTTTCTGTCCACGCTCACATTCCTGGGGGCCTAAGAAAACAAGACTGGGCAGCTATGGGCCAGATTAATAGGGTCCTGGGCTCCAAACTGACCTGTGCTTACACCCAACTCTGCCCTTCACAGCTATGCAGCCTTGGGCATGTGATGAAACCTCCTGAGCTTCCACTGCCTTATCTGTAAAATAATATCTGTGCTTCCAAGTGCTGCTGGGTGGGCTGAATACTGCCTAATTCATTTAAGAATGTTTAGCAAGAGTACACTTAATAAATGTTAATAAATAAACACTATTCACACAGGAAATGCCATTTGCATTAATCTGAGGGGATGTGACTATTGCTTAAACCTGCAAGGGGCTTGCTAAAACACAGCCCACCCACCGAGGGCCAGGACCAGAGCCCAGGCAGAGCTCTGGGTTGGCTGTTCTTGCTACCTGGCCGGAAACCCTCCCCTTAGCTCATCTTTGGGCCCCAATGGTAAGAGGCCTACAGTCTCAAGGCTTGGCATGGTTTGGGTGATCAGACCCCTTGACCTTCTCTTTTTACACACTGCAAAGCCACCTTCTCACAGATCCCTCTGCCTGGAACTTTCTTTCCTTCCCCTATTCACTCATGATTCCCACTTTGGTCCCTGAGGTCTCCATCTTCGGGTGACACCTCTCATCCCCACTGGTGGCACCGACCCAGCACCACACAGCTTTCCCAGGCTGACACTGCAGCATTACACTGTGATCATTATTCTATCTCCCACCATAATGTAAGCTCCCCAAGGGCTTGACCAAGTCTGAGTTGCTCACTAGTGTCCCTAGAGAGACATCATTAAGCTTTTATTGCTGTTGGTAAGTGAGTGGTCAAAGGGTCTACTTTCACTAGTTTGGACAGATATTGACATGAGGAGTCTGATCACATCCATACAAGCAGGAGCTGTGTAAAACAGACAAGAAACTAAACATCTGCTGGCTCACTCCAAAAACAAAAGAAAACGTGCAAGTACAGGGCCAAGGACCAAAACCGGGAAGAAGTTCAAACAAGGACAAAGATTAATTCCAGATTCACTGGATGCCAGAGCTAGAGGAGACCTCAGAGACAGCCTAGTTATTAGGCCACCTGCTCCCAGCCTCTGCCTTCACAAATGAACACTGTGGAGCCTGCAGAAGTAGCTGGTCATCTGGGAGGCACAATTTCTAACTTGGGGCTCTGATCTGCTGGAATATACCCCCAGGCTCTTCCAACACACCCAGTTCCTCCAAGCAATAAAAGACATCTAAAAAATTCAACAGACACTTTAATCAAACACCAACTCTGTGCCAACACCATCCTAAGTACTACAGACAGCAGTGAACACAAGAGACCAATCTTTGCCTTCACTTATTCTGCCTGTGTGAGTAGCAGCAGAGGATGGCAGGGGGTCTGGAAAAGTATAAACAGAATGAAATTTCCCTTGCGTTTTCGGTAAAACTGCTTAAACTCACACTTTTATTATGAAACACCATTTGAGTCTAGTCAAGGCAGAGATGTCAAAAGGCAGTGGCAGGTGGCTGGAAAGTATTGGGACTTGGGTATGTCATGGGTTCAGGGGCAGGAGCAGGAGCAACCACTCTGGGCTGGGGTGATCAGGGAGGGGGTCCTGAAGAAAGCAGCAGCTGAGCTGAATGTTGGGGGGTGGGTAGGAAAACCCTAGATAAGATCATAGGCATCCCAATACAATTATCCCCAAATCATCATCTTTAATGGAAGCTTCCAGAGGGCTTAAAGGCCCCATGGATCAGTAGGAAGTGTGACCAACCCAGATTCCGGGTTCTGACCACGTTCATCTACAGCTGGGTGACCTTGGGCGGTTATCCACACCTCTCTCAGATTTGGGTTTCTCATTTACAAACTGGGCAAACCCTTGCCTCACAGGGTCACTGTGTGAGATGTAAATGAGACACTGACATGGGGGCCCTAAGAATGGGACACAAGTTAAAGACACACACACACACACTAACTGAGACATTCATAGGCATTTCGTGCCAGGCACTATTCTAAAAGCTTCCCCTAGAGAAAGGCAGAATTATGATCCACATTTTACAAATTAGAAAACTTAACAGAGAAAGTGGCTTATGCCCAAAACCACATAGCTGGTAAGTAAGTAGGGCCTGGATTCAAAACCAGGCGGGCTCATTCTGCATTCCATGTTCTCAGCTATGCTGCGATCAGCCCCATGAGTATACAAAAAGGCAGCACTCACTAGCATCCAAAAGGTAAGCAGCTGGGGCTTCCCAGTGAAAAGGCTTGGCTTTAGGGGCAGTTTTAAGGCAAGAATGAGGGCCTCCCCTCTGCGAGTACTGTGGAAGCCTGGGGGTCAGAGCTGGGGCCGCTGGACCCTGGGGTTGTTTCCTTGGAGTCAAAATGTCCAGTCCCAGAAGACAGTTTCTCTCTTAGTGACAGAAGTCTTTCAGGTCTTGGAGCAAGAAGTGCCCAAAAGAGATTCCCTGGACCATCACAGGACTCGAGGCAGTTGAAGGCTGAAGAGGGAAAGGAGTTGCCTCAGGCCACCCAACTGATTGGGGCAGCCCTGAGCAGGGGGCCTGCTCCTGCCTCCACAGTGTCCCAAGGGCTCCCAGCCTCCTGTAAATGAAATGACCACATGGTTTAATCAGAACTAGGCAGGGCTGGGGAGCACATTCTGTCTAGCTCTGTGCTTGCCAGGGTTCTGCTGACTTGGAAATCAACTTTTTTTTTTTTTTTTGGAGACAGAGTTTCGCTCTTGTCGCCCAGGCTGGAGTGCAGTGGTATGATCTCGGCTCACTGCAACCTCCGCCTCCTGGGTTTAAGCGATTCTCCTGCCTCAGCCTCCCGAATAGCTGGGATTACAGGTGCCTGCCACCATGCCCAGCTAATTTTTATATTTTTAGTAGAGATGAAGTTTCACCATGTTGGCCAGGCTGGTCTTGAACTCCTGACCTCAGGTGATCTGTCTGCTTTGGCCTCCCAAGTGCTGGGATTACAGGCGTGAGCCATTGCGCCCGGCTGGAAATCAACATTCTATCCAAGGACATAGCACCTCCACTTTGTTGCCCTTGATGGCTTTCATTCTGCTTGATTTAAGTAGGAATTGCTGAGAATTCTGCTTCTCCAAAACAAGTCCTAGACTGACAACACACATAAGAGGCTCTCTAAGAGCACTGAAAAAATTAGAGCCCACTGAATACACTGGGCCAGAGAATTTGGGGGGCCCTGCAACTGGGCATGGCCTGACCTCTTGGGATGTCCACATGTGTCTGTAAAGGTGGCCGCAATAGCATCTACCCTACGAGGCAGCCAAGAAACACATAAACAAACCGTGCCCGGCAGCACGCCAGGCACGTGACAGATACAGGTACTGCTGTATTACCTCTACCCACAGAGCTGCCTGTAAATCCTGGCCTGTGGGAGCAGCCTCTGGGCTGGGCACTGAAAGGCCTACATACTTCATTATTATTATTATGATGATTATTTTTAAAGAGACAAGGTCTTGCTCTGTGCTGGAGTGCAATCACAGCTCACTGCAGCCTTGAACTCCCGGGATCAAGGAATCCTCCTGTCTCAGCATCCTGAGTAGCTAAGATTACAGGCATGTGCCACCACACCTGCCTAATTTTTCTTTTTTTTTGTGGAGTTGGGGTCTCACTACATTGCCCAGGTTAGTCTTGAACTCCTGGGCTCAAGTGATCATCCTGCCATGGCCTCACAAAGTGCTGGGAACAGGTGTGAGCAACCATGCACCATGCCCAGCTATTATAACAATTATTAATCTACTCATTATGGCATCTAACATGCGTGCAAAAATTTCAGGTTTTTTCCTTTGGGATTATTGCGTTTGAACACAGTCCTCGGGAATCACCAAATCAAAGGGGCTGATGGCTACGCCCACTGTAGTCGGTTCATTTAACGTTCAGTGACCTGACTCAGTGGCCTGTGGTGAATGACACGGGAACAGAGGTGAGTCAGGCATGGTCCTGGTCTTTCTTCATTGGCCACGCTGCTCTATCAGCAGCAGCGTCTCAGTGGACTCCTCTCCTCCCAGCCTCACATAAACTGGTTTATGTTATTTTTGTAAACTCCAGTAGGGTAGTTTTTAAATAGGCCAAACCCTTTCCCAAATTAAAACCAATGTAGAAACACGAACTGATGGTTCTTAGTATGTGTGCTCTGACTGAAGTGGATGACCGGAACCTTAGCCTCTACCTCTACTCCCAGGGTAGCACAGGACCCCTAGGTTTAAGGAACACAGCCCTGAAAACATGATCTGAGGCAGTCTCTCCAAGGGAAGGCCTTCGGAAAGAGACAGAACTGCTGTGAATCTTAGGCCTGTGGCTCTCAATGAAGCCTCTTCTGATTAGAATCTATCCTCTAAAGCAGAATTTTCTAAACTTGTCTGATCATAAGAATCTCCTGGGATGCTTGGTAAACACACAGATTCCTCAGGTCTTGCTTTGGCCCTAATAAATTAGACTTTTTGGTGCTGAGGCCCGGAAAGCTATGTTTAACAGGATCCCCGGGTGATTTCAAAGAATGAATACATTTGGGAAACACTGTGGCCTAGAGGCATAAAGTATGTGGATGTCCCCAACCCAACAGGGGAACCCCATCAGGTAAATCAGAGTTTGTATGAACAAATGCCTCACAGCTCAAAACAGACGGTGACAATACTGTACTAAATGCTTTATGCTGTTCATTCTTAGTTACTCTTCAACTTACAAGGTAGATATAAGTATTATCCCCATTTACAGGCTTAAGCGACTTGGCCAAGGTCACAAAGCTAGTCAGAAGATGAGGCAGAATTCAAACTCACGACTGCTGGATTCCAGAGTCCCTGTCCTTACTGCTGGCCTGGAGCGTGAGGGCCTGGGGGCCATTCTGGTTCTTGACAGCATGGCATGGGAGAAAGCATCCAAGTGCACTCAGATGGGCTTGGATTTAAATCTCGACTGTGTGATGGTAGGCAGTTCAATTACATTTCTAGACTCAGTTTTCTCCATTGCAAAATGCAGACAATCGGGCTGCTTTACAGAATATAAGAGTACACGCGGCACCAGCCAGAATCCCGGCACAGAGCAGGGGTGTGCTAAATGTTCGTTCCCTTCCTGTCCGGTGCAGTCTGGGAAAATTAGTATCTGTACCCTTCTACCTATACAGATACCCACTCAGAAAGGGTTGTCGGGGTGGAGGAGAGCTGCAGGCACAGAGAAGTTAACTAGAGAACCATCCAGCCAATAAAGCAGAATCAACACAAATGGGTAGGTAATACCCACTTAATGGATTTACTAAAAAGTAGAAACAACAAAATTGGGCTAATGAACATTGTGGTGGCACTTAAAAAATTTGTTTATGTAACCCATGAAGCAATATTTTAAAAAGCTCATGTGTAAACATATGCCCAAGGGTAACAACTATTATTATGGTCCTCTTGAACTGTGCCGGACGAGGCTGAGTAAGCATGGAAGACTGAAGTGTGATCTGTCAGGGCGGTGGGACTGAGCAGATTTTCCCTTTGTGAGGACACTGGAAGTGGCTGGTCTGAACGCAGTGCTGTTTACAACTAATTGCTCACAACCAGTTACCGATTTCTTTGTCCCTTCTCCACTCCTGCTGCTTCACCTGACTAGCCTTAATGAAAAAAAAAAAAAAAAAAGAACACTGGAGGTGTTAAAAATTAAAAAGGCCTAAAATTAGATCAGGTTCATGAAGGACTTTGTCAACAGCAAGTGCTATGCTGTGTTATGGCTGCTTCTGGGCCTGCCTGGGTGCGGGTCATGGCGGGAGGGAGGGCGTGTACCTTCTGTGTTCACGACGATGATTCCCTGCACTCCCTTCTGGCTCTGCAGTCGCTTCAGTGTCTCCTCCACCTCTGCCTGCCAGAAAACAAGACCAAGGTTAGGAGAAGCCAATAGGCAGGATTAACTTCCTCATACCCCAGGCAGATGAATCATGTTTGTCTTCCAACAGACAAGTAATACTCAGGCACCTGGCACCCCCTCAAAGCTCCCCAAGCTGATCTGATGTGCTCCTCCGGCCACCGCCAGTGCCCAGAGCATCTGCTCACACCCCCATGCGGGACAGGGCTGCTCCTGGCCCTTTGCCCACCAGGTACTATTATCCCACCCTCCTCAGCTGTTGGGGAGCAGAATATAAACACCATTCCCATGTATATACACGTCCATGACTCATATATTTGGCATAGCTGGGGGATGGGACTCTGATGATTTAAGAAAACTCAGAGAGTAGTATCTAACAGGAAGACAACACTTTGTCATTCGCGGCCCAAAGAGCACAGGAGGATAGACTGAGTGACTTCAGCAAGCATCCGAGATAGTGTGATGTGCAGCACTCAGCTATAGAAGTGTGCCTTGGGAAGGGGCTCATTAATCTTGATTACCCAGAAACTGCTCAGGTGGGCTACTCCTGCACACAGCATCTGTAAGTGGAGGGGCAGTCGGAGTTCATGTCCTCATTCTGCCATGCCAGGCCTCCTGTCACTCCTGTCCTACCTTTCCCTCCACTCTCCAGCTCCATGACACACCTCCCTGTCTCTACATCTTTTTATCCCACAAGGCCTCTTCTCTGCTGAAATCCAACAAACTCCTCTAGACCATCTAAGACATCATCTCCTCCACGAAGCCCTTACTGATCCCCCAATCGATGGGGTCTGCCTACATGTGACTCCTCAAATCCCTGGCTGCGCTTCTCTGGGACATACATTAGGTACTATGTCTATTTCTTAGAGACTCTACAAAGGTCTGTGGAGTAGACGTGTGATAAATAGCTCCTTAACTGAACTAGGCCTAACTCTTCCTGTGGATGGAAACTAGCCCTGAGGTATACCTGTTCTCAGGCGGCCCCTTCCAGACTGGTCTAGAATCCAGTCAGAAGCCCCTCAAAGGCTGAGAGTTGTTAGAAACAGAGGCTCCATTCACCAAAAGAAAACAGTTCCTCACCCCCAGGGACTAATGAGTTGGGGTTGGGGGGGAGGAATCCTCAACACTGGGTGGAGACAGCACAATGAATTCTTGTTTTTCTGGAAGGCACAAGGCTGACAATCCAGTCACTGCCACCCACTCCCCCGTGACAGAAGAATAGTCTCGAACGCTGGAGGGAAGGGTAAACAAGTTTCTCCTATAAAGTGGCAAATGGCCTGATGCCTCTAAGATCTGGAACCTGGGTAAAATGACAGGGTTCTGTGGACGTGAGAGTACAATGCAGTGGGTCATGCGTGTATGAGATCGAATGTCAGTCAACACATTCATTGAGCTCCTACTATGTGCCAGCGGCTATTGTGGGGAGGAGTAGGGCACAATAGTGGTCACTGCTGGACAGTACACAGTCTACCCTGGTCACCCTCCTGGAAGTTCATCAAGTACCAAAGTATAGTGGCATCTGCAATAGCAAAATGCAGAAAGAACTAAAAATGCCCAACAATTAGGGAAAAGGCCAAGTAGATTATGGAACATTCACTAATAGGAATATAATACACATATTAATCATGGTGATTAGACCATGTTATACCATCACAAAAGATGTGTGTTATGATATTAAGTGAAAACAGCAAAATGCAAAAATAAAGTGCTTTAGTGACTGCAATCCCATGAAAACAAAAGGTTAGAGGAGATTATGAAAAAAGCCACATTACGGGCAAGGAATTATAGAAAGGTTTGATTTTTTTTTTAAACCGCCCTTTTCATTCTACTGTATTGTTTCTATTTAAAAACATTTTAATCTCCCATCTATGTATCCAAGAGAAGTCTATGATACAGGGGCCACAGGGCTCTGATACACTCAATGTTGTCAGAAAAACAATATGTAAGAATAATTTGGATGATAATTTAGGACAGCTCAATCTGCAATCAACCCAGAAAGAAAGGGGAAAGAAAGTGAAAACCAAGATGTCAGAATCTAAATCCAAAACAGCCCCCAGAGATTAGAGAATGGGGCTGAAATGAAAAAGATGAAATTTCCTAAGACTGCTATTCATTCAGTAACAACATGGCAACCTTCCATGTGCCAGAAATGTTCTAGGCCTGGGGATGCTGCAGTGAACAAAATATAGCAAAAATCCCATGTCACAAAACTGACATTTGTGGGAAGGGACATTAAATAAGAAAAAGGAAGTCAAACATAAACATCAGCTACAGTAGAGAAATGGGACCTGGAATGTAGGGGTGATGGGAATGTGACATACATCGTCAGAGAAGGCTCGCCAAGGCGATAGTGAGTAGACATCTGAAGGAAATGAGGGAGTTAGCCATGCCAGTTTCTGGGGAATGTTCCAGACAGCACCAAGAGCAAGCACAAAAGCCCTGGGGTGGGCAAGCGCCTGGTATTCAGGGGGAAAACCAAAGGAGCTGGTGTGGCTGAAGGGCAGGGAGCAGGGGAGGGACGGCAGCTGGGAGCCGGGACCAGACCACAGACGGCCTGGCAGATCAAGTGATGACTTTGGTTTTTACTGCATATGATTCATGGAGCCACTGTCAAGTTTTGAGGTAGAGAGTGACAAGACCTGATTGTTTTCCAAAAGGCGGCTCTGGCTGCTGTGTGGAGAATGGAGAGCAGGGGGCGAACACCGCCTGAAGAGGCCTCCCATCCCTGCCCTGCCATGTGCTGCTCTGGGTCTGAAGGAAACAAGCTTCCCTCCTTCACTCGATGCTTGATGTAACTACCTCCCAACCCTTTGGACTCAGCTCCAGAGCCTCCCGCTGGAGGCTTCTCTGACACCAGCCCCTCTGCTGGGCACCGAGGCCCCCAGCCTTCACAGCACTGACCACAATGCAGTGCAACTGTTTAGGTCACATTCATCTCCTCCTCCAGACGCAAGGCACCCTGGGACCAGGAAACCAGACCAGACTTTATAGCCCCAGTACCTCGCAGAGGATAGGCTCAATAAATACTGAAGGAACAAATAAAAAGCATTTCCGCAACTATGTTTCACGAAATCAACCTTTTTAAGTACAGGAGGGGGACATGGCCTCACAGTCCACAGTGTGAAAAAAGAGCTAAGGTTTAGGTGATCTGAAATTCAACGAGAACCAGACACCAAGATCTGGCTATACAAAAGTAAACACAAGCCGGGCGCAGTGGCTGATGCCTGTAATCCCAGCACTTTGAGGGGCCAAAGCAGGTAGACTGCTTGAGCCCAAGAGTTTGAGACTAGCCTGGGCAACATGGTGAAACTTCATCTTTACAAAAGATTAAAAAAATTGGCCGGGCGCGGTGGCTCACGCCTGTAATCCCAGCACTTTGGGAGTGCGAGATGGGCGGATCACGAGGTCAGGAGATCGAGACCATCCTGGCTAACCCGGTGAAACCCCGTCTCTACTAAAAAATACAAAAAAATTAGCCAGGCGAGGTGGCGGGCGCCTGTAGTCCCAGCTACTCGGGAGGCTGAGGCAGGAGAATGGCGTGAACCTGGGAGGCAGAGCTTGCAGTGAGCTGAGATCCGGCCACTGCACTCCAGCCTGGGTGACAACAAGACTCCGTCTCAAAAAAAAAAAAAAAAAAAAAAAAAAAAA